TAGTTGAAGATGTGTTACATTTGTTTACACAGTTAATGATGCAAAGATGGGCTACATTCTCTTTTTTTAGGTTTTATTTATTATGTGTATACAACATTCTGCTTCCATGTATATCTGCACACCGGAAGAGGGCACCAGATCTCATAATGGATGGTTGTGAGCCACCATGTGGTTGCTGGGAATTGAACTCAGGACCTCTGGAAGAGCAGTCGGTGCTCTTAACCTCTGAGGCATCTCTCCAGCCCGAGCTACATTCTTTTATGTTGCACTTGTTTGACCCTGTGAAGCTGTGTTGCTTTGGTCTAAAACACCTGGTTGGTCAAATAAAGAGCTGAACAGCCAATAGCAAGGCAGGAGAAAGGATGGGCGGGGCTGTCAGGCAGAGAGAATAAACAGGAGAAATCTGGGAAGATCAAGGAGCAAGAGCAGGAGGAGAGAGACAACAGGGGCCAGCCACCCATCTACACAGCAAGCCATGGAGTAAAGATGTATAGAACAGAGAAAAATAAAAGCCCAAAGAGGCAAAAGGTAGAAACAAGCCAAACTAAGGCTGGGCATTCATAAGAAAAAAATTAGTTTCTGTTTTGAGTATTTGGGAGCTGACTGGTGGGCCCCTCAAAGAGTAAAGGGGGTGAGGAGCCAACACTACCCACCAGTCCACAGCATTTCTTATGGAAACAGACTGCAATCAGTCCCCTAGACAGACAGCAAGAAAGAATGGATGCTCCACTGAGGTCTGTCAGTAATAAAGTTCTTCTGACAGTTGGAGGGATGTGGCCAACTTCTTTCAACTTTTGGGAAATAACTTAAATGGTGCTCTTAGTGTCTGGGAATGCCCACGGCCCAGGCTGGAGCTCAGACCTGTACCTAGCTGGTTATGATCAGTCTGTGTATGATGACTTTGGGTCAGAAAGCAAAGTGGGAGCAGCTGGAAGACCTGAAAGACAATACATTTTAAAAATAAAATAAGGGCTGGCAAGATAGTTCAGCAGGTAAAGGCATTGCCACCAAGTCTAAGGACCTGAGTTCAATCCCTGAAACCTGAAACCTACTTAGAGAGAGGACAGAACCAACTTCTACAAGTTGTCCTCTAGCATGCACACGCACACAAACACGAGCTCCTGCACACACACACACACACACACACACACACACACACACACACACACACACACACAGTAAATGCAAAAACAAAACATCCTTCGCATGTGTACACATGTATATGTTACTTATGTGGTGTCAATGTGTGTACACAGTTTATAGATGGTATGAATGTGGTGTATTACAGACATGGTGGGCATGAGGTATGTGACAACAGTCAATGGGTGTCTATAACTATATACAGTATTACTAACAATGCAATCATGGATTTCTTTTTGTTGTTGTTTTTGTTTTGCAGGCTGTCCTGGAACTAGCTCTGTAGACCAGGCTGGCCTCGAACTCACAGAGATCCG